CTACAGCCATATTGAATCATGACGTCAGAAGCGAGAAATGACAAGTTAATTTTTGTCACGTGTCATTTGTAAATGAAGACAATTTGGATAAAACAAAATGATGAAATCGTTTTAAAACATTTGTAAAAATAGACCAAAACTATGCTTATCCCGCATGACAGTCAGTCAAATAATCGTAAAAAGTGATAAAAAGCTCATGTAAGTAAAAATAGGCTACGCATACGCATTGAATAAAAGCACTTCACGTGTCTTTTATCACTTTTTTTATTCACGATTATTTAGTGACTGTTAGGGAGGGATAAACATAATTTTCGTCCATTTTTACAATTGTTTTAAAGTGTCTTTATTTACAACTGACACGTAATAAAAATTAACGTATCATTGCTCGTTTCGTTTCTGACGGCACGATTCAATATGGCTGTGATGACTACTCAGGAGCCTTAAGGAATCTTCATAAACTTAAAATATTACAAATTCTTAACACTGAGATATTATGAGAATTTTTTCACCAGGAAGTGCAACAATAAAACAAACCTATTACACACGCCAGATATCGAATCAGTAGATTCATGTTTTTTTTTTTAAACTAAGTTAAGTTAAAGTTAATGGCTTATAAAATTAATTTAGTTAAGTTAAAAGTTGAATAAACAAAAAACTCAATTAAAGTTATGCTAAGATATAATTTAACTGAAGCCAAGCAAAGTTAATTTTGAAAAATATTTTTATTAAATAAAAGTATCTCAACCTTTTTAAAATCAGATTACTTTAAATAACAAAAAAATTACGATATAGATCATCGGATATATTTAATATTTTATTCGTAAATTATATGAAATAACAAAGATATTTCTTACATAATAAAAATTGATTTTTAATACCTTAAAATAGAGATAATTTCACATTTTAATATTTATATAACAAAAGAAAAATAAATGTAATTTTTAAAAATATAAGCAATCTTGTTGGCCATGCCTGCACGATTTTTGAAAATTATAAATTATAATAAACAGTTTTTATTCTATCGCTCATTAGATGTAAAGAAAAGAATAGCATGACGTAATAGCATTGATAGCGTTTTCTAAATGTAGATCCAACTCACGTTCATCCTTGGGCACTAGGAATGATGCGTCTATCACACAATTACTGAGCTTTTTCTAAACTAATTTTTTAATATTTAAGGTTTTATAAAAAAAAAATACTAACATTTATACAGATAAAGAAACTTGAGTTAAAAAGTAAAAATTTAATAAATTAAAATTAAAAAATAACTAAATTAAGTTAAAAATTAATTCATTTGAAATTAACTAATTAAATTATTAACTTTTCATTTAACTTTTAACTTATTAATTAGTTATACTACCCAACCTTGCTCTTTATCGACAAAGAATAGGTGAAATGGGTTGATTTTTATTTAAAAAATGTAACGTAAATTATATATATGTAGTCTTAAATTTTTGAATCGTAAATATCCTAGTTTTATTTGTCTAAAGCCATGAAAAAATAGTCAGTGTATCTTAAAAGGATCGAAATAAGTCCTTTCTTGTAGCAACAAACAGAAATTTACTTATTTTATCTCCATTCTTTTACCTTTGTAGCAGACACTTTACAAAATCTATTTTTGACAAATATGACTGTTTTGTGTATATATGTGTATAACGTATGTGCACGCTCGCACAGGAAGTTTAAAGTAAAGGCCAATCGTTCGGGATTTTGAGAGGTGATTTAGGAATAAGAATAAAAAAGTTGATATAAAGAATAAAAATTGATATAGGCTTAGATATGCGTTGATCTAAGGAAAGACCCTGAGATCTCTTCCAAGAGACATTAAGCAAGCTGCTACTTCCACGTGGGGGGTAGAGTTCCATGTAGAAACATTAGTGGGGAGGGCTGCATCCTGGATATTGCTAAGGCAGCCCGCAACTTTTGACTCTTTAATATTATGTTATAAAATCTCCATAAAAACCATCTTTCCTTTAAATTTTTAATAAAAAAATTCGAAAGTAAAGCAATTTCAAATTTTAATACAAAGATAATGATAACTCAAAAACAAACGTATTTCCAGATTTATGTTCATATCAATTTTTTTCTTTTTTTTTTCTTTTCTGAGATTTCCAATTATCTCCTGAGCGCCTTTTTATTTTTTAAACATCCTCTGTATGTACGCACACGTGTATATATAATAAATCAGCTATTTAGAAAAAATATATGTACATCACTTTGCTACAATAACAACATAATTCAAAAAACAAAGTTTTCAGAAAATAAGTTTTAATGCTTTGAATCAGCAAAATTTGTTTATAATATTAATTTTGAATTGTTCAATTTACTCGAATGATCAATTTTAGTATAACAATTAATTTTAATACAAAGTACAATTTAGTGCCTCATCCATCCAAACATGGGTCACTAGAATCCATCAGTTTTTCTTCACCTATTCAAAATGAATAAAAAAATCTTTAAAAATTCACCAACATACTTTCAACCTTCTAGAATAAATATTGAAACTTCATTTTAGAAAATAATCAAATGTAGTATAATTTACAATTACTGAAAGACTCAAAGAAACTTACACGAACAAGAATCGCTTGATTATTATTAGTAACCAAACCTTGTACGGTAAGGGTTATAGAGGAATAAAAGTATGTTCTTTCCTTTTTCTTATATTTCCGTCATTTTTTTGTAAGCAAATATAAAAATAAAAATAAATTTTTTAATTATGTCGATATTATAGCAAATGGGCGATGTACACATATACATTTTTTTGACAGTTGATTTATTATATAAATCTTATCAATAAGTAAGTATACTTGTACAAGTGTTTAAATTAGAAAAAAATATAAATCTATTTAGAGAGCTTTCATGTCAACATGATAAGATCGTTGACTTAAAGTTTGTTTGAGTCTATTGACTGTAGGAACAAATTTATGAGGCTTGTGAACTATAGATTTCAAATTGATAAAATGTAATATACCCAAAAAGTTTGCATATTACATATTACTTACGAATGGGAGTTGTAGAGTAATAATAAATTTACGTGAAAAAAGCAAAAGGCACCGAGAGGAGAACGTGTTAAAAAGAACGTGACAATGAGACGCGCGCGCGCGCGCGTGTGTGTGATGTATGCATGCGCGCATAGGCGTGTAAATGTATGTATCCGCAAATTTCGCAAATAATAAGCGAATAATAACAAGAAAGTCGATGCCTGCGATAAAGGACATCGGCATTTCAAGAAGCGAAAAGCGTGACAGAAAATGCAATACGAAAGATCGACATGAATGTGCGAGGAGCATGGGACCAGGGTACCGCGAGAACGAACATCTTGCGACCGAGAAAATTAATAGATACGCTTACCACGCGGCGAGGACGTTCGTTATCAAACGACTCAGCCCTGTCTTCACAATCTATGGTTACCTAAAGATTAAAGGTTACAACGAATTCATGAATGAATTTCATTGACGAATTTCTTGGTAACCTTTAATCTTTAGATAATATTGTGAAAACGGACCTTAGGATTTCGAAGCAGAGGACAGCCGCGAGAACAACCCGTAACTGGACTTTTTTTTCGTCGTCGCTAAACTGACATGATTGACACGCGCGCGGGCGCACACATGCACACACATGCACGCTTTTTTCTTCTTTTTCTCCATGCTTGAGACAGAGAAAGAGAGCGTGCGATCGAGCGAGTTATCGCGATTATGCGAGGTTAAGATCGCCAATTAAATTCACGTATCACGCCAATCATCGGTTCTACCTGAGAAAATTCAACGTGACGGCATAACTGAGAAAAATACGCGTGCATCATTCTGTTAACGCTCGCTCAATTGAGATCTCGAGAGAGACACGCAGACTTGCCAAACACGAAAATAAGAACTGCTCTCACAATCTTGCGTTGCGTATGAGCGAATTTTATTGAGTCACATCGTTATGTTAGATGTGAAATTTTTTCGTCTCGCGTCGGCGGCTTTAGTCATTCTTTCAAATGACGATCGCAAGGTGTCGCAAAACGACCCACGAGTCACACGCGCCGTTCTTACCTTCCTCGACAAATCGCTAGAAAAGTTATTCTCCGGAGAAGTGTCGCTCCGTCGTGTCACTTCGTTACTAATGAGACACCAAGCTAACCACGCATCAAGATCATCGAAATTTCACGTCCGGACTATCGTGGGGTGTTCGAACGGTATCGATCATAGTGCCATTGACAGTATATACGCTCGATTCATCGACTGATTTGAATCAAGTCTCGATATTATACTTCAAATATCACACGATGTGAAATCTTCTTGAACACACAGTCGGTTTTATTTCGTTTCAATACCGTTTTCATACTTCATAGACGGCATGCCTTTCCCCCACCTTTCTTGGCTTAACAGGGGTGTCAATCATGCAAAAATCTTTTTCCCTAGGTTAAAGGCCATAGCACATAGAAAAACTTAACAGCCCTTCTACAATAAGCCGCAAGTTAGAAGTTCTAATGCTGGATTCACCCTGCATCCGATTTGCGTCGTACGACACTCTGCGACCAATCAGAAAACAGGATTCCGATGGATTTTGTTTCGTATCATCGGAATCCTGTTTTCTGATTGATTGCAGAGCGTCGTATGTACAACGTACATCGTATGCAGTGTGAATCCAGCATAAGCGATCTTAAGTCATAATCGGTGAAGTTGGACAATAGCCAACTTGAACGACTTGGTTAAAGGCCGCAGCACACACTCTTACATAACGCATAATGCATAGGACATAAAGGAATCAACCAATCACAATTCTTCTTTTTCATGGAATAGGACGAAAGGAAAGATTCTGATTAGTTGATTCGCTTATGCACTATGCGTTATACGTTATGCAAGAGTCTGCG